CCAGATACCCGACCTGCCTCTTACAAATTTGGGCCTTTTTGGCCGAGGCTCGGTACCCTAGGCGTCCTAGGGTCAGCAGCAAGTTCTCAGTCCCTTTAAGGCAGGCTGCTCTATCGACTGCAGCAATCAACAAGTCATCTACATATTGTAACAAGCTGATGTCTGGATTTTGGGTGCGATACTCACCCAGATCTTCATGAAGAGCCTCATCAAATATGGTTGGAGAATTTTTGAACCCTTGAGGGAGTCTAGTCCATGTCAGCTGCCCGCTGATCCCGATCTCAGGGTCGTGCCACTCAAAGGCAAAATACGGTTGACTCTTGGGGGCTAAAGGGAGGCTGAAAAAGGTATCCTTCAAGTCCAGAACAGAGTACCACTGCCGGTCTGGAGGTAGTGAGCTCAGCAGGGTATATGGGTTAGGCACAGTGGGGTGAATATCCACCACTCTCTTGTTCACTTCCCTTAAGTCCTGGACTGGCCTGTAGTCCCCTGTGTGGGGTTTCTTGACTGGTAACAAAGGAGTGTTCCATGCGGACTGAATTGGTCGCAGGACTCCCAAACTCAGAAGCCTCCTTATATGAGGTGTTATTCCCTTCTTTGCTTCTAGGGACATGGGGTACTGGCGGACTTTGACTGGATCAGCATCTGATTTGATCTCTACATAGACTTGAGGCCTATGCTTCGCTAGTCCCATTCTCCCAGTTTCTGCCCAAGCTAGGGGAAATTTTTGGAGCCAAGCCTGAATTTCTTGCCCGGGAGCCTCAGGTTCTAGGTGGAGCCTGTATTCCTCGACTAGGTCAGTTGTCAGGAGTACTTGTATCAGCCTCCCTTTTTAGTCCATTAGCCAAGCTCCCTCGTCTGAGAAATGAATTTGAGCTCTCATTTTAGACAGGAGATCTCTCCCAAGCAAGGGATATGGGCATTCTGGTATCACCAGGAAGGAATGGGTTACTTTCCCCATGCCTAAGTCCACAGTTCTTTGAGTAGTCCATGAATATGACTTAGTTCCTGTGGCTCCCTGTACCCAGGTTCGTTTTGAGGACAGGGGTCCGGCAGGGGCCAGGAGGACCGAACTCTCAGCTCCTGTGTCTACCATAAATTGGATTGGCTTCCCCTCCACCTTTAAGGTTACCCTGGGATCAGGGAGGGGTGCTGAGCCCTGTCCCCCCTAGTCACTTTCTTCTTCCAGAGTGGTTGCTAGGGTTGGGACATGTGGTACCTTTTTCTTCTTGGGGCAATTCCTGACCCAGTGTCCTTCTTCCCTGCAATACGCACATTGGTTTCTTCCTACCTTGGGTTTTGGCTTGGGTCGGGGCGTTCCGGCTCCTCGGAGAATTCCTTTCTCAGTTGCCAACAGGACTCTCTCCAATTGTGCCTGCTGTTGTTCTAACAGTTTAGTTAGATTCCTTTCCTGCCTCATATCTCGTCTATCCTCTCTTTGTTGTCTTTGTTTCCCTTTCCTTTCTTCCTTCTGCTCCTCTGTCTCTCTCTTGTTATATACCTTTTCCGCCACCGCTACTAGCTCCCTGAGGTTTCTTTCTCCTAGTCTGTCTAATGACTTCAACTTTTTTCTAATATCTGGTGCTTCCTGGTTTATGTAGGCTAGTATGACCGCCTGTGTTGTCATCGGTGACTCAGGATCATACGGGGTGTATTGTTTAAAGGCAGTCATTAACCTTTCTAAATAGGCAGCCGGACTCTCGTCCACTCCCTGTCTTATATCATAGACTTTGGCCATATTTGTCGGCTTTCGTGCCACTGCTTTGAGACCCGCCAACAGAGCCTGGCGATAAACTCGGAGACTCTCTTTACCTTCTGCCGCGTTATAGTCCCATTTGGGGTGGGTAGAAGGGAAAGCAGCAGTTATAACAGCCGGATCAGTCAGGGGGTCTCCAGTAGGCCCGGGGACAAGCTTTCGGGCATGTTCCAGGATCCGTCCCCTCTCTTCAATTGTGAAGAGGATGCCCAGGAGTTGCTGGCAATCGTCAAAGGTGGGCTGGTGCATGAAAAGAACAGTCTCTAAAAGGTTAATTAAGTCTTGGGGGTCTTTAGAGAAAGGGGCATTCTGTGCTTTCCAATTATAGAGATCACTAGTGGCAAATGGCCAGTAATGGAAGGGCTGATTCCCGTCCTCATCTGGGGGTCCCGCCGGCCTCAGAGGGAGGGCAACTGTAGTGTCAGGTTGAGGGATCGCCCCTCGGTGGCTTCTCGTTGCCTGTGCGGGACCCCGTGGGGGTTGTGGGGCCAAAGCTGGCTCTGGTGGTGGCGCTGTCGGCTGCACCGTCGGTTGTACCCTAGAGGAGTATGGTGGAGGGAAAAGTTCAGTTTCATCAGTCCCTCCCTGCAGGACCTCAGGCATGCCACCTGTCTATTTGGCTTTCCTAGAAGGGAGGAAAGGTTTGACCCATGGCAGGGGACCTTCAAGCCGATCAATCAGGCCCCGCCAGGTAACTACATATGGAATCTGGTCCGGGTATCCCGAACGGGGTCTAAAAACTATTTCCTCTACTTTCTGGATAATGGCCAGATCAAACGTGCCCTCCGCCGGCCAGCCAACATTAAGAGTTGGCCACTCTGCGGAGCAAAATCTCACCCACTTACGCTTCCTGACATTCACACTGTTGTTGTTCGCCGTGTCTTGCACGTCCTGCCAGTGAGCAAGGGTTAAATCCAAGGGGGAAGATGGAGTTGTCCCCATGGTTAGTTTAGAAAGCTAATGAACAAAGGGAAGAGAAACAAAAAACAAACACAAGAACAGACAATAAA